TAAAGGGAAAGAAACCAACAAAGCCTTTTTATTTAAAAAAAAACAGAGACACTAAAAAAGAATGTACAAAGATGTTTCCTTATAGGTCAAGAAAAACCGGATAGAGAGAGGAAAAAACATCGTGGTAGGAAGATGGACAATAAAAACCTGGAGTTGAGATGGTTGAAAGTTCAAAGAAAGAACCTAGAAATTTTTTTCCACACAATTAAAGAAGACATGCATACATGTTACTTCAAAAAAACAGACTATTGACTTATAGGAGACAGATTAAACTACATGACAGAGTGAACTATATGTTGCTGCTGATATATGTCTAATTGGAAAAAATTGACCCTTAAATGCTTGTTATAATGGAATAGTGAACAGATAAAGTAAGGTGGTGATAAGTTAGGATTGGGGTTAGTAGACTGAAATGTTTGTGTTTTTAGCTTTGGAAAAATTTATAGGACTGAGGTGTGTGAAAATGTTTGTCAATAGAGTAAGTTACGAATAAGTTGACTTGTTATTGTAAAAAATAGACAATTGATTTATAGGAGACTAGCAGTAAAGCCCGTTGTGAAAGCAATACAACGGGATCTAGAAAGAGGCTCTGGGGGAGTGCTCTGGCTTTGGGCAAACAGTGTCAATTTGCTGTGGTGACCTCAGCAGGGTATAATGACAGAGTCCACTGTTTTCTCCAGAGGAACTGATCTCTGCTACCTGAAGAGCAGTTGTAATTGTGAGTGATCTGTAGCCCTCACCTGGAGATTGGCAGCAATTGTTACCCAGGACAAAATGGCTGGTTTGGAGGGTGGAGTTGGCAACCCCATCTCCTTCCCAGCTAACCATCAACCTACCATTATCTGCCCCTTTGACTTCAGCTGACTTCTGCCCTCCCTTCTGCAGAGCAGTTGTAATTCTGAGTGCTCTCCAGCCCTCACCTGGAGATTGGCAACAATGGTTCCCTATGTGGGACTGACTGGTTTGGAGGGTGGAGTCTATGGCAGTGTACCTGTCTGAGGTCCCACCCCTCCTCAAACCTCACCCTCTTCAGGCTCCATCCCTCAAATCTCCAGGAATTTCCCATCTGGAGTTGGCAACCCTATCAGGACTGGCCCCAATGTGTTTTCTCCCAAAGGCCAAAGTAGGTGACAGGACCAAGCTTAGATGCCTACCAACAGGCACTGAGGGGAATGTAGGGTTGCCAGCTCTAAGGAGGGAAATACCTGGAGGTTTGGGGGGTGGAGTCTGTAGAGGGCAGCAT